CTATGGGACAGGTACAATAATGCAAAATTTACTAGTTTAAAATAGAACAGTTGGATCCAAATTGTATTTCTGGCAGATGGAATAAATTAAGGTGTCCTACTTACATAACTAAAGCTTTTCAGTAATACTTGTGGTGAAGATTTTTAAGATTTTTCATGGACCTAGTTTTCAAATAACCTTTTTCCCCCTTCTGATAAGAATTACCTTGGTTCCCAGAGGGAACTAGGTAGAACATTTCCATCTCAAAAGGCACAGAGAAAGAATGTAAGTTTCACCAAGAAAGACTTTTGTTCCCTAAGTCCAGATGCTTTACAATATCTACAAGTCTTTTAAGATGGATAGGGGAGGTTTGGGAATTGGTAGAAAGGAAAGGTGGGCTTTGAATTGCTTCTAGAGCTGCATTTCAGTTCTTGTAAAGACCCAATCTTCAACACAAGGACAGTTGTTTTTAATTCCTGGAAAAATTGGGTTGCAACTTGTTTGGATCCACCCGTCCAACTACATTATCTTTAATTTGCTTCTTCATAGCAAGGAGAAGCTCTTCAACTAAGATGGAAATCAAAAGGTTCCTAGATTCCTATGTTCTAGATTTAGAGCTGTTTGGGATGTTTTTCTTTCCCCCTGGGTACATAGTTTCATTTAGCTTAGGGGAAAAGCCCTTAAAAAAAAAACACTCACAAAATTCCTATCAGGCTCTGAATATCAGCTTCTGTTTTGGCCAATTCTGACCATAGCGCTGCTTAAAAAACAAACAAACAATCCTTTCAAATATTTTGTCAGGTTTCAGCCAGCACAGAGAGTAAATATTCCTGTCAGTATTAAACAACCACTTGGATACAAGAGGAGTCTCCAAAGAGAGTGCAAAGGGTACTCCTCCGTCCATTCCCCAAGATCCAGAACCTTCCCAAAGACAGCCCAAATAAAGACAATTCTCTTGAGAGTTGCCAATAGTCGGTCCTCACTGCAAATGGAGTGCAACCCACATCTGTCTGGCCATGTCTAGCTGAAAACAGGTGGAAACCCACATTTCTGCCCAGTCATATTTTGGGGTGCCCAACCTGATGGTTGAGTTTCCTGCTTATGCAAGGACTGACAACCAGACAGAAAGCCAAGCCAAGTTCACAGGACAAAACAAGACAAATGAGAAGGCAATAGCTGTCCCTGAGAGAGAAAGATCAGTAACCATTGGGTACCTCAAAACCAAATTCATGAGAGTCTAAATTTGGAAAGGAAGGGACAATGTGGACTTTTACCTTCCTCTCTTGACTGGGCACTAGAGATCCAGGAGAGTTGGCTCTTGTAAGAATTCTCATCTTTTGCCAACTTCTGTCAGTTTTCCCAGGATCCCATCTGCAGGCTCTAGGGCAGGTGGGGCTTAAATTAGAGAATGTAGCCCAGGTATCTACCAGAATTTGGCAAGGTTTTTCACCAATTTTTAGTTTCCCCTTGGATATTTAAGGGAATAACTGGTAGAGTTTACCAGAAAATCCCTTGGAGTCCCATCCACACGGGAGGCACCCTCTTGGGGGCCTCCTTCAAGGGTGGATACGGGGGCCATTCAATTTGCTGTAGAATGATTTGACAAAAACCTTTTTTCTAGTGTCCTGGTTGATTGCAAATGAGACACCAATTCTGGGCCAGTGTTTTGTTGATGGACCCCTAGGAGGGCGCAGTGAGGGAGTCCCAGGTGTTTCAGGTTTCTGGTCTTGGAACTGGTTGCAGCTGTGAGGCCACTAACTTGGTCGACTTTTGTTACAGTTTTACAGTTTATTCAGAGTGGAAAGGCACTTCAGATAGAGGACTAATAGACTGAGTACTCAGGGAAAGGAGGATAGAGAGGAGTAGTAGAAGCTACCTCCGTCTTAAAGTCTTTTGTTTTAAGTACCTACTGCACCTTTAATTTTTCATTAGCCTTTTGCAATGACTCTTTCAGTGAAGTTATTTTGGAATCTTAAAGCCTTTCCGAGCCTTCTGCATACCACTTAAAATAAGTGTTCCATTCTTTCAAGTGCACTTCGTAAAGTGAACAAACTTGTGTAATTAGAACATTGCCCATAATGGCCATTGCAACTCTAAATTGCCTTAGTAAGATTTTGCCATTTTAGTAGATATCTACAGCTTCTGGGACCACAGTTCTTAAACATAAAACAAGCAGTTGTGCCAGGTGGTGCATGCTCAATTCTTTGAAACGTGAAGATCTCATTTCTTTAGTTAAGCCTTGGGTCTCTTGGAGCCAAATTAATACCTAAGAGGGATGTGCCACAGGTCTGGGGATTTTGTGGTGTTTTACAATATACCTCATTGTATGGAAATTTTCTTGAGGTGGCAGGTGACCTAGTGTTGACCTATCCCATTCCATGACCAATTTATCTTAACACAGGATTCTTACAGTTAGATGGCGCGCATTCTATCAGCTTTTAAGTGCTCAACCTGTGCCCACCAATTTTGTGGTTTTGGCTTCAAGATGCCCATTAACAATAGATCTATTATTCCTTTACCCCATATGCACATTAACAGAAACCAACAGTAACCAAGGAAACGGAACTGTGGACACTGCAGTAACCAAGGAGATGGCACTGTGGACTGGCCAAGAGAAGGCCTTAGGTGCTCATCACAAATGGTTCCCAAAGTGGAACTACAGACCGAACCAGCAGAACCCAACAAAAGGGGACTAATGGGCTTCCCTGGTGGCGCAATGGTTAAGAATCCACCTGCCAATGCAGGGGACACGGGTTTCGAGTCCTGGTCCAGGAAGATCCCACACGCCGCGGAGCAACTAAGCCCATGCGCCACAACTACTGAGCCTGTGCTCTAAAGCCCATGAGCCACAACTACTGAAGTCCGCGCACCTGGAGCCTGTGCTCTGCGACAAGAGAAGCTGCCGCAATGAGAAGCCCGCGCACTGCAATGAAGAGTAGCTCCTGCTTGCCACAACTAGAGAAAGCCCGCACGCAGCAATGAAGATCCAACACAGTTAAAAATAAATAAATTTAAAGAAAAAAGGGGTGGGGGACTAACTGAGCCCTCAGACTAACAGAACTGGGGACTTGGGTTCCAGGTGTCAGCTCAAACTGACCCATTAAGCTGTGTCCTGGGACCACAGACTAACCAAGGGCTAAGGACTGGTGCTCTGTTAGAGACTCCTGTCAGTCTAGACCAACCCATGAATCCTGGACTGGAAAGCCAATTAGACCAGAAGCTCAATGTAGAGAGTGGAGTTCATATCAAGAGGAACTTACCCACGGCCCTCAGAAACAGTGACAAAGAAAGAGAACTCAGGGACTTCCCTGGCGGTCCAGTGATTAAGACTCTGCACTTCCACTGCAGGGGGCACAAGTTCAATCCCTGGTCAGGGAACTAAGATCCCACATACTGCACAGCCTGGCCAAAAAAAAAAAAAAGAACTCAAAGCATTTGTGGATATCAACACATGTATTTCTTGTTGTCTATGAAGTCATCAGGAGTCTTCAGATCCCACCACTACTACCAAAACTTAAAATACAAAAATCAACTGGGTAAATTTTAAAGCTCTTATTGGCTTTATTTAATGATTCATGAATCAGGCAGCATCCCATCTAGCACAAAGAAAGGAGCTCCAAGGAGCTGTACAAAATAAAGGACTTTTATAGGTAGAAGGAGTTACTGAGTCCAAGCTCCTACTGCTCACTGCATGACAGGCCAATAAATCAAGAGACAAGTTGCTGGGGCAAGGAACAGCAACTTTATTCGGAAAGCCAGCAGACCAAGAAGATGGTGGACTCCTGTCCCAAAGAACCATCTTACCTGAGTCAGAATTCAGGCTTCTTTTATACTAAAGAGGGAAGGGGTGTGGCTGGTTGTTGCAAACTTCTTGGTGCTGGAATCCTTTGCTCTTGCAGCTGTTCATGTCCAAGTAGGTCAGGTCACAATGTTCACATAAACCTCCTGGATACACACAGGCCAAGGGATGGCAGGTTCCACCACAAACCCAACCCGAGGCACCACAGTGAGTCCTGGGGCAGCACTATGGAAGCCAGGCCTCTTCTGTGTCCAAGTGGTTGTGGAGTTGGCACAGCTGGGGACCTGAGACATGGGTCTCCTGGGCAGTCACAGCATCAGTCCAGCTTGCCTGTGGAGCTCACGCTTCACCTTTTCTTCACAAACTTCTTTCTGGAAGCATTGGGATTTAACCGTCTCCTGCCGGCTCCCAAGGTGCTGTCTCGGACCTGCAAGGTAGCTGACCGGCTGGAGATATCATTCTCTGCAAAGGGAGACACCCCAGCTATGTAGTCAGGGGCAAACACGTCAGTTTTCTGCCTGGCCTTTCGGGAAAGTCGCAGCTGAGGGAAGCGCTGGTCCTCGGTCAGGTGGGGGTTGATGGCGTACTTGCCCCCTTTGGGAGTGGGGAGTGAATACTGCAAATAAGACGAGGAAAGGCCATTAGGAGGACGGGGATTCGTATTTATGCACATCAGATCCTGTTACGTAAAGCTTACCTGACAACTCTGCACGCGGGCAGACGACACCAACGGAGTCTATCGTCACTGCCTAGTGTGCACTGAGTACATGACATGCATCTTCCCACCTGAGCCTACTCTCACCTCACAGATGAAAAGCAACACGGTATTGTGACTACATTCCCTCAACAAAAGACAGAAAGAATTACACTAAAACACAGAACCCTAGTAGGCAGGTACCATTTTCATAATGGTGTAGGTTAGCACTTCTGAAATAACCACACACACACACACTCCAGTTGAACAAAATTATAATTATGGAAAATGGTGTTATGAAGGGTGTTATGGATATTAGAGGGAGGGCTAGAATGAACTCTGTGGTGTTGAACTGAATCTGAAGTTATAAATTCAATTTTTAATACAGGTAAGAGAAAAAGTATTAATATGTGTATTTATATATAGTATTTCCCATCTTTGTCCACTGTGGACCTGGAATTAATGCCACCCTAGGACAATAAGCATACCCACTGTCCAGTGCCCAGATCTTTGCTTCTAAAAACTTAAGAGCTCCGTAGAGAAATGGCTGATTCCAGGGCACAGGCAGGGAGGTATAAGAGTCGGAACAGCTTGCTGTGCCAGAAAGTAAAATTGTTCAAAGAATAACTGGGGCACATCAAAAAGACACAGAAGCCATCCTGAAGGGGCTCCATGAACAGTTTGAGTATCAAAATAAATAAGGATAGCAATGGATCACAGCCTACAGACTACAATAAAAATACATGCGACCACACTCATATAAATGATATATGGGAAAGTTCCTCTTTACAGCAGAATGGCAAGTAATAAATATGGAGAAGAAATGATGCAATTAGAAAATCACCATTTGGCAACCTTCATTGTAAAAACTGATTCAGATGACTTTAACCAGTAAAAGTTTGATGAGAAACAGTATTCACACAGTATCAGACTATCTTTCTCTAAGTTACTTATTAATCACGGATAATAACCTTACAGGAAATTTGGTAATCTTGGTTTTGTTAATTACATTGTGGTTACACAAGAAACCTCCAACTAAGTGATCAAAGTTATTATCAGCAGTAAATTGGACACAGCCTGAATCTAACCAGTTGGAAACACCAGACAAACCCAAGGTAAGGGAGAGTCTACAAAGTAACTGCTTTGTACTCTTCAAAACTGTTCAAAACTGTCAAGGTCATGAAAGACAGCAGACCTGAGAAACTACTTCAGTTTAAAAGAGACTAAGGAGACAGGACAATGAAATGCAACAGTGAAATGCAACATGTGATCCTAGACTGGATCCTGGACCCCAAACCAACCCCCTTCTCTTGCTGTAAAAGAAATCTGTGGCGAAGTTTGAATATGGTCTAAGGACTCCCCTGGCCGTCCAGTGGTTAAGACTCTGCACTTCCAATGCAGGGGGCGTGGGTTCGATCCTTAGTTGGGGAACTAAGATCCCACGTCCCACGTGGCACAGCCAGAAAAAAAAAAAAAGTCTGGAGCTTCCCTGGTGGCACAGTGGTTGAGAGTCTGCCTGCTAATGCAGGGGACACAGGTTCGAGCCCTGGTCTGGGAAGATCCCACATGCCGTGGAGCAACTAGGCCCATGAGCCACAACTACTGAGCCTGTGCGTCTGGAGCCTGTGCTCCGCAACAAGAGAGGCCGCGACAGTGAGAGGCCCGCGCAGCGTGATGAAGAGTGGCCCCCGCTTGCCACAACTAGAGAAAGCCCTCGCACAGAAACGAAGACCCAACACAGCAAAATAAATAAATTAATAAACTCAAAAAAAAAAAAAGTCTGAATATGGTCCATAGATTAGATAGTATTGAAGTAATGTTAACTTCGTGGTTTTGGTAATTGTATTGTGGGTATCTAAGACGAAGTCCTTGTTTCAGGAAACACACACTGAAGTATCTAGGTGCAAAAGGGCGTCATGCATAATTTACTCTCAGATGGTTTAGGGGAAAAGAAAAAATGATAAAGCAAATATAGTGAATGATTAAATTGGGAAATCTAAGTGAAAGCTAAATGGGAATTATTTGTACTATTTTTGGCAACTTTTTAAAAAAAAAACTACGAGATACCATTAAAAAAAATTATTTCAAAATAGAAAGTTAAAAAAAAAAAATAACCTTTCTAACGTTAGTGGCATGCACCATACCTGGAGAACTCAGAGCCAGGTCAGCCACACTCATACTTGCCTGCCTGTCAACCCTTCTCTCCTGATTCCTCAAAACAAATCCACCCCGCTGTGTATCCAGCCCAGGACTCTCTTGTGCTGAGTATTTACACAACCTTCCCTTGTGGTTCTTGAAGCTTCTAGACATTCTACCCATCCTCAAATTCCCACACAAATCCATCCTCCACCGTCCTGCAAACCATCCCTCTTTGACCCCACATATATTTGGCCCTTGCTTTTTACCGTGTGGAATTACTGGTTATTTCTCCTTAGACTGCAAACTCCTCAAAAACCTCACAGGGAGGTTGAGTTGTGAGCTCTCCCCACCTGCCTTGGTCCCTGGATCACAGGCTTTCAATAACTATCTTTAGAAACCAGGAGGGTCTGTTTGTCCTCTCTGATCATTTCGATCCTGGTGCTAAAAGGTCTCGCTTCCCCGACCTGGGCCCTGCTGTTAGGGGAGCGGGAGATGCGCCACTCACCCGGAGGCCCCGAGGATTCAGCACCTTAGGGTTGCGGGAAAAGTGCATGCGCAGGGTTCCATCGTCGCTGACGGTCACAGACACCTTCTTCAGTGTCTTGTTTCCACACTGTGCACAGAACACTCTGCTCATGTCAGATGTTGTCCTGCAGAAACAAAGGAGATGCATCACACTGGAGCCAGAGGCAGCAAACCCCATCCCCAGAGCGCAAGGTGAGTCTCGGGCCTCAGAGGAGGAGACACAAGAAATGGGGACAGGCTGGACTGCACCGCACACATCCCAGACCAAGGCCACCTGCCCTCATGCTGCTGATATAAGCACACTGCTGCTGCACGGCTCCCACAGCAAAGGTAAATGACATAAGGAGCAAGTTAGTAAGTAAGAAAACTGAGCAGGATGTTGTTACAGTAATAATGAACTCTTACTGAATTTTGTTAGGCATTATTCCACAAGTTTAATGTCAAAATAACCCTATGAAGTTAATATATCTCCATTTTACGGATGGGGAAACGAAGGCAAGGTAAGGTAGCTTGCTCAAGGTCACAGAGCTAGTAAGTGGCAGGTATAAGCCCAGGGAATCTGGCTCCAGAGTCAGTGCTCTTACCACCACCATACTTTCTCAAGGGTCATATTATTACATTACTCAACTATTTCTGAATACCTTGTGCCCAAGTATCAGCCTAGGCATTAAGCCAGGAGGTGGCTCTGGAGGTGCTGAGAATTTACTAACCAACAGGACACACTATCAAAGCTGCTATGATTAAATGGGTGTGGGTGCTGAGGCAGACCCACAGGCCTTGCCTCTCTCCCACCCGCTCAAGGCCCAACGATGGACCCTGAACAGGCAAAGCTGCTGTTGTCAGGGACCAAGCAGGAGCCCTGGTGTCTGTCCTTGAGGAATTCTCCCTCAGTTCCCAGTGGTAAGGACACAAGAGCTGCGTGAAACTGCCGGAGAAGCCAAGCCCTTTCCTGAAGTCTCTGCGAGTGAACTAAGCAACACGGGCTAGGAAATAATTATTTTGTGCAAGAAACCACTCAGTCACTGGGGTTAATCTAACAAGAATGGAGAACATTTCCAAGTGTTTCTAAGAACGAATGTTAATTTGAGGAACTTAGAGCTTTTGTAACAAAGGACAATGGGGGAAATGAGATTTCCTGAAGCAAAAAGCTTTACCGACATGAGCCTGGCACGTTTAAACACTAAAGATTCAAAAAATGCAGAGGCAGTTTTGAGGAGTGGCTCCCCAGCAGACCTGCAGAGGACGGTAACAGAGATGGGCCCCGAGCCACGTCGGGGAGGGCTTCATCCAGGCTACTCCACCGTCAGTGGAACAGCACTGGGGACACAGGGAGAGACACCTTACTGCTTTGGAAAGCAGTGCACACAGGCCTCCACAGTAAGGGGCTCCACCAGATACCTGACATGACGGCTACCATGTCTAGACTGAATCTGTGGAAAGGCTGGAAGCCACCAAGTTCCCAGGGCCACGCTTCACTCAACAGCAGGGCTGCAGTATAGTCTCTTCCATTCCAACCAGATCTCGGATCCGGGGGCCTCTCCACACAACACCAGCCCTCACCACGAGAAAAACCAATTCATGAGGCAGAAAAGAAATGGGGAGGAGTGCATGGTCAATGAACTAAACAGTTCACGTCAACGGAGCACTTCCTATGCGCCAGACAAGCACTCTTTTATGTGACGATCTCCCTAGTTCCTCACAACCACCTTTCTAATTTTACATAAGAATCATCTGAGGTACAGAGAAGCTGACCAACTTCTGCAAAGTCACACAGCTACTAGGAGACAGAATCTGGATTGGAACCCACATAGTCTGGATCCAGAGTCCACTTTTTTTTTAAACAGAAAATTTCAAACATGAAGTAAACCAAAGAGCACAATGAACCCTCATGGACCCATCACCCAGCTTCATCTCTACCCTCACCCATTCCTCCCACTTCTGTTTTATTTCAAAGCAAGTCCCAGACGTTACCCCTTCCATAAACATTTTGGCACTTACTGCTAAACGACTAGGGCTCTTTGCTCCAGAACCCACACCCTTAATCCTATACACAAAGGTAAGGACAAAAAACACCCGCCCTGGCTTTGTCAGGTGGGAGGTCACTGGCCACCTCTGTCCCAGGGCTTTCAGTGCCCTGGTGGGGGCAGAACCTGGCCTGAGTAGGAATGACAAGGTGGAGGGAATGCCTGTACACAAGGCAAGGTTCTCCTTCAAGAAGTCTCTAGAAGGTTTAGGAACAGAGGAGTGTTCAACAGAGGGGCACTGAGCCCAGGTTATTGGCTACATACTTGAAACAGCCGTGGCAGCGCAAGATGTAGCTCCGGGCCTCGCGGATCAGCATGCCGTTCACGGCCAGCACATGCAGCCCCATCTGGAGCAGGACATTCTGCAACCAACAAGTTAAAGGGAAACTGAACTCATAGCAAAACCACGAATTGTTTAATATCTGCATAATCACAGTTAAAAGAACTTCCCAAACCCTGGTTTGGCTCATAAAGGGCTTCTACTAAAGAAAAGCAAGCTTAGGATACCTCTCAAGACATGTAAACTAGGACAAGGACCCAGATTTTTCTTCTCTCAGGTGCCATTGACCGAGATCATCATTTCGCCAAGGCCTCCTTTAGCAATCTCTCTTAACAGAGACATTTATTGTGTGAGAGCAAATATACTCATTTCTGGACTCAAAACCTCTACAGTCTCCAAATACTTAACTGAGCACAGGACGTTACACACACTGAAAGAAAAGCAGCAACAGATCATGAATACTGAACATCAGAAATTTAATATACCACATACATTCTGTAGGTATACTATGATTCCCTAACCTCCAAGCAAAACTAAAAATTACCAAAGAGCACAGGCAAAGTTTCTAGAGCCAGGAAAAGAAGCATTACACAACAGCCCTGTACACACCCCCAAACCTCCAAAGGACCACTGCCTGTAACAGGTATGACACCAAGCCCAGGGCCAGCCGATGCCCATTCCACCCACCTGCATGGCGAAGTCTGTAGTCACACAGCCGACCCGCACATCCTTCGGGATGGCACACTGCTTCATCTCCTGGTGGACCTGCTTGATGTTGCTGGGGGTTATCCACCCACCCCCGTCATCATCACTGTCTTGGTCCTTCCTTTCTTCAAATCCATTCTCTTCGTTCTCTTCCTCACTTGGAATAGCCTCACCTTTGTCAATCTGAAACGTTAACAGAATTCAAACTTCTCGCCCAAAGGAGCAGCTGGGAGGCGCTAGTCTGTTGTCATCAGGAGATCATAAAGCAGGGCCTTACCAGCAGCTCCTGAAGTTCATGATCAATATTAGGCAAAGGATTTCTCCAGAACACAAAGGAACTGAATTCTAGGTCCTCAGGCTCACCGACTGGGTGTCCACGTTCTACTGTTCCTCGTGCGGATTTAGGCTGAAGTTAAAAGAAAAATAATTTTAAAACCTGAAAATTGAGAGGGTTATAAATGAAATGATATACGATATACAAGCCAGATCAGACAAGGATGGACAAACTATGCTATCTGTCTAGGTAAATTTGGTTCCCTCTAAACAGACAATTTGTGGAGATCTGACATGTAACAGAAAAGAGCATGAAGAGCCTGGCTGGCCTATCGAAGAAATTACCTTTGAGGGCAGATGGAAACCAGAAATGTGTAGAGGAGTTTCTGGGTGCTGAATTGATGAACTCACTTTAACCTTTAAAAAGAAAAGAAAAAAGTGACAGCTCTAAGCAAAGAAATGCAGGTTGAAAATTCAACATGGAAGAGTAATTTAAAAAACAGAAAACAAAATACTTCCCCCTGGTTATTGAAATAAAAGATATTCAATGTTTTTTAAAAAGTGGGAAACATAAAAATATATGTAAAGAATTTTTTTAAAAAATAAATTTTTTTATTTTTGGCTGCGTTGGGTCTTTGTTGCTGCGTGTGGCCTTTTCTCTAGTTGCGGTGAGCAGGGGCTACTCTTCATTGCGGTGCGCGGGCTTCTCACTGCAGTGGTTTCTCTTGTTGCGGAGCATGGGCTCTAGAGCGCAGGCTCAGTAGTTGTGGTGCATGGGCTCAGTAGCTCTGCGGCATGTGGGATCTTCCCAGACCAGTGCTGAACCCGTGTCCCCTGCATTGGCAGGCGGATTTTTAACCACTGAGCCACCAGGGAAGCCTGTAAAGAATTATTCAGGGATTCCACTACTACCAAATAACCACTTTAGGACATTTCTTTTTTGTCCCTAGACATAAAGGTTTAATGAACATCATTATGTGTAAAACTTGGAAGTATCTTTGCTTATATCCTTAGGGTAAATGCCTAAGAGTGGAATTGCTGGGTCAAAAGACAGGCTGTTTTAAAGCTTCTGATACAAAACAGCTAATTCCTGCCCAAAAGACTGCAGGAAAGGGCAATTTTTAGGAATCTCAAATTGACAGATGCCAAAGCAGAAACCCAGCTGAGCCACAAAGTCAGAGTTTATATGAAACTATTCCCTTCACTCCCATCGCCCCAAAACATTCTGGTTGACACACAGATGTCTATATTTTAGGCATCACTTTTAGACTTCTTGGATTGGAGGACTCTACACTTGGTTGAAAACAAGTGAAGGCAGTTCTGACTAGAATAGAATCATGAGCCCACTACAGTTTTGATGACCTTAGACAGTGGAGATCAAGTAATTCTTTGCAAACACTACTTGAAATTACTTATTACAGTATAAGGTTAATAATCTATCTTTCGGGCTTCCCTGGTGGCGCAGTGGTTGAGAGTCCGCCTGCTGATGCAGGGGACACGGGTTCGTGCCCCGGTCCGGGAAGATCCCACATGCCGCGGAGCAGCTGGGCCCGTGAGCCATGGACGCTGAGCCTGCGCGTCCGGAGCCGCAAAAAAAAAAAAAAAAAAAATCTATCTTTCAAAATCCTCTGGCCTAGAAACAGGTAATGGGGTCCAGGCACAAAACCATTAGTCTCTTAAACTTAGCCAAGCTGGACAAGTCCCTAAAAGCACAACAGGAACCCAGAATTTTGAAGGTAGCAAGAGTTGAAAAAAATGGTAATCATTTAAAGTGTTCTTTCTTGCTTGCTTCTGGAAAAGAATTCTATTTTTAAAAAACGAGTGAGAGGGGCTTCCCTGACGGCGCAGTGGTTAAGAATCTGCCTGCCAATGCAGGAGACACAGGTTCAAGCCCTGGTCCAGAAAGATCCCACATGCCATGGAGCAACTAAGCCCGTGCACCACAACTACTGAGCCTGTGCTCTAGAGCCCGTGAGCCACAACTACTGAGGCCTGCGCACCTAGGGCCCGTACACCGCAATGAAGAGCAGCCCCCGCTCGCCACAACTAGAGAAACCCTGCCCGCAGCAACAAAGACCCAACACAGCCAAAAAAAATGAGAATATTTTTACTCTTTCTGCATTTTATTATTTTAATTTAGTTTATCTATTTGGTTGCACCAGGTCTTAGTTGCGACAGGCGGGCTCCTTAGTTGTGGCATGCAAATTCTTAGTTGCAGCATGGGGATCTAGTTCCCTGAGCAGGGACTGAACCTGGACCCCCTGCACTGGGAGTGTGGAGTCTTAACCACTGTGCCAGCAGGGAAGTCCCTGCATTTTTAAATTTAACCAACGTTACCAAGAACCTACAGGTCAAGACTGAGACATGTTTGCTAATTGTAACGTATGAACCTTATCTGGATCCTGATCCAAACAAGTAAACTATTAAAAAAATTTTATAAAATAATTGAGAAATGTGAACACAGATTGGATATTTGATTATATCAGGGAATTACTATTAATTTTGTGTAGGTGTAATACTGGTTTTGTGGTTATTTTTTTTAGAGACATACCTTATCTTTAGAGACACACCAAGAAATATCTATCAGTGAAATGTTAGGCTGTCTGAGTTCAAAATATTCAGGGCTGGGGTTGGGTAAAGATGAAAACAGATCATGAGTTGACAACTGTGGAGGCAGGATGATGGGGACACTGGGTCCATTATACTATTCCCTCTACTTCTGTACATCTGATAGTTCTCATAGTAAAAAAGTTAAAACAGGGCTTCCCTGGTGGCGCAGTGGTTGGGAGTCCGTCTGCCGATGCAGGGGACACGGGTTTGTGCCCCAGTCCAGGAAGATCCCACATGCCGCGGAGCGGCTGGGCCCGTGAGCATGGCCGCTGAGCCTGCGCGTCCGGAGCCTGTGCTCCGCAACAGGAGAGGCCACAACAGTGAGAGGCCCACGTACCGCAAAAAAAAAAAAAAAAAAAAAAGTTAAAACAGATAAAACCAACAATCTTTCTTATTTACCTTTTCTGGTTCTTGTTTTAGGTGAGACACCCCAACAAACTCTGCTTCCAGCTGGTAGGTAAGTGCCAGTACTTGGATATCTGTGGCAGAGAGGCTGGGATAGTCTCCAGTTTTCTTTGAAAACTCAGTCACTGTAAACAAGAGATTCCCAACTTCAGTTAAAAGCAAAGAGCTATATGACCTTGGATAACCATAATGAAAGTATGAAAAGAACTTAGGATCAGTATCCCAAGAAAAACGGAAGCCCCAAATCTTTTTTTTTTTTAAACTGAAGTATAGTTGATTTACAATGTTGTTAATTACTGCTGCACAGCAAAGTAATTCAGTTATACATATACATATATTCCTTTTTAAAATATTCTTTTCCATTATGGTTATCATTGGATATTGAATATAGCTGTCTGTGCTATACAGTAGCACCTTGTTGTTTATCCATTTTATATATAAAAGCTTACATCTGCTCACCCCAACCTCCCCCAACCCCCTTCCCCTTGGCAACCACAAGTCTGTTCTCTATGTCTGTGATTCTGTTTCTATTTCAGAAAGGTTCATTTGCGTCATATTTTAGATTCCACATATAAGATATCATATGGTTATTTGTCTTTCTCTTTCTGACTTCACTTAGTATGATAATCTCTAGTTACATCCATGTTGCTGCAAATGGCATTATTTCGTTCTTTTTTGTGGCTGAGTAGTATTCCATTGTATACATGTACCATATCTTCTTTATCTGTTCATCATCAATGGACATTTAGGTTGTTTCCATGTCTTGGCTGTTGTGAACAGTGCTGCTATGAATATAGGAGTGCATGTATCTTTTTGAATTACTATAGTTTTGTCTGGATATATGCCCAGGGGGGGAATGTTTCAGCCCAATCTTATGAAGTAAGTACTGTTAGTATTTCCTCAAAAAGATCAAGTAACTTGTCAAAGATCACACAGCTAGGATGCTGGAGAAAGCTAAAGAAGTCACAAATAGTGTAGGTAACAACATCTCCATTATCAGGCCTTTAAACCCTAAAACACTTCCAACCACCTAAGTCCTTTCCTGGGCAGGATCATCGCCTTGATCCCTACAAGAGAACAACGCTGACTCCTAAGCCAAGTGAGAGTTGTTTAGTTTTCTTTCAGGACTAATGTAAGGCCTAAAAGCCATCCCTTTTTCTGACTTGAGGCTGGCCTCCATATCCAAAACAGTCATCACTCTTATCTACTGAAAAGAAATGGGCGAGAGTAAGAGATCTAGGTTCTTCTATTTTTTCTTAATCTTTTTAACATCTTTATTGGAGTATAATTGCTTTACAATGGTTAGTTTTTGCTGTATAACAAAGTGAATCAGCTATACATATACATATATCCCCATATCTCCTCCCTCTTGCAGCTCCCTCCCATCTTCTATTTTTAATCCAAACGAATTTACTGAATACTTACAAAGCGCTGGACACTGCTGAGTGACATTATTCCTCATTTAATGCTCCCAGCAACCCCTCGGGTAGGTACTGTTAATCCCATTTTACAGATGGAGGCAACCGAGGCCTAGAGCGTCTGAGTGATATTCCCAAGGGCACATAACTAGTAACTGGCAAGGCCTGGCTGACTCATGACCCAGATCTCCTCTCTCCCACCACGGTCTCCTAGACCGTGGAGTTTCTTTTATTTACTTATTTTTTGAATTTCTGAATTTTATTTATTTTTTTATACAGCAGGTTCTTATTAGTTATCCATTTTATACATATTAGTGTATACATGTCAATCCCAATCTCCCAATTCATCCCACCACCACCATCACCACCACCACCACCACCCCCTGCCACTTTCCCCCCTTGGTGTCCATACGTTTGTTCTCTCCATCTGTGTCTCTATTTCTGCCCGACCGTGCAGTTTCTAAATCAACTCTGATAAAGCATCCAGACTCCGACTAGAACCAGAGCAGGTTCAGTCAGCAACCCGGGAACCAGCTTTGCCAGTAACACCGGGCAGAGACACTCACCCAGCCGCACGTATTCCGGGAAGGGCTCCCTGAAACGTAGCTCGTAGGGCAGGACTGCGAGCCGCCTGCGCGTGGCCTTATCCCGAATCTCGCTGACCACATCCCGAATGGTGTAGATGTTCTTCCCGATGTCCTGAGGGGAGACCGGCCCAACTCACACCCGCCCGCACCACGCAGCGCGCTGCCCGATTTCCCAAGCTCCTTTAGGGGCCACCAGCCCAGACCCCGCTCCTCTCCGCCAGAGCTCCCTGTACCTGCAGAGCCGCGTCCCGCAGGAAAGCCCCTGCATCGGCTACAACGTGCTCCACCGGCGCCATCTTGGTCCATGGAGGCCGGAGCGTGCATGCGCATGCAGATTGCACCCGCCCCTCTGTCCCAATCTGGGCCTCTGGGAGCCGGGAAGAGCGGCCGCGGCAGCATCTTCCGGCTCAGGGCTCTCCGAGCGCATGCGCGGTGAGGCCGCCAGCTCTGCCTGGGAGGTGTGGGCGGGGTCAAACCTTGGGAGGGGCGGGGGTCCACCCGAGGAAATTCGCTTTGGCGTCTGCTCCTTAGCGCCTTTTTTACGCTTAAATGCAAATAGTCTGTATTAGTTTCATTGTTAACAGTCAATCAATACAGATGCCCTAATTTAAAGATCACAACAACCCTATGAAATAGGTACTATTTTACGGGTAAGGGGTAGCTGCTCAAGAAAACTAGGCCCAACTAACATGGGTAGTTAGTGAGGTATCGAGATTAACACTGAAACAAACCGACTCAGAGCCGCTTTCTTACTACTGTGCCATACCGACCGCTGCTTGCTTACTTACCCCCGCTTCATTTTGAGCAACTTGGGTCCAGGATCTCTTACGCCACTTACATAAGCAAGGCTCATAATTCCTTGCTGAGATTCCATAATTATGAGATCTGGTCTATTAGAAATTCATGCTGGCGAATTTTGGCTGAATGATGACTTGAGTTTTCAGTCATCCATCTTCAGAGGTGTTGAGTTATTCTAAACTTTCTTTGTCAATTCTTCACTCCAGTTTTTACCCCTTGGTTATCATTTTTTTTTTTTTTTTTTCCTGTACGCATGCCTCTCACTGTTGTGGCCTCTACCGTTGTGGAGCACAGGCTCCGGACGCGCAGGCTCAGCGGCCATGGCTCACGGGCCTAGCCGCTCCGCGGCATGTGGGATCTTCCCGGACCGGGGCACGAACCCGTGTCCCCTACATTGGCAGGCGGACTCTCAACCACTGCGCCACCAGGGAAGCCCACCCCTTGGTTATACTTTATCCATCGTACTTCCAAAAATTGTTCACTGCCCTCGGGGGTCTTTTAATAGGTGCCCAAATCCCTTTTCCTTCCCCAGATGTCTCAATTTTTTTTTTTTTCTCTTTTGTGGGATCTTAGTTCCCCAACCAGGGATCGATACCCGGCCCCAGCAGTGAAAGGGCCGAATCCTAAGTGCCTAGACCGCCAGAGAATTCCCTATCATATCAATTTTTTTGTTCTTATTTCTCTATACTTTCAGTTTCTCTGCAGAATTTTACAATGCTGACCATTTCCTCTTTCTGGACTGTCTCCTTGCCTCACTTTGGTGTTTCATCACTATCCTGGTCCCGCTGTGTCTCTGATGATCTCTCACACTCCTTCACTGTCAGCTCTTCTGCCTTGCTCACGGGGCACCCACCACAGAACTGTCTTGGCCTCTGTATCTTAAGTTTTCTCCTTCACCAATACTATCTATCCCCAAGGCTTATCACAATTATCGCATTATAGGAATGCCTTTGGAATCTACAGGTCCAATCCCTGTTTATTCCCTAGCCTAGCCATTGGCCACATCTTTCTGAAAATTTTGGCATCTTCACTCAGGAGGAAGGTTAAAACTAAGGTAGTTTTCTCTCCTGCCCCCGCTTAAACTTTCTTCACTGGCTGAGTTCCTATTTTTCCGAATGGCATTACCAAAAAAGGCACTCAAGGTAAGAATCTCTGAGTCATGTTTATTCCCACTCTCAACCCATACCACTCTTGCTAAACTTTATTGATGTCACTTCTGAATTGTTTTGAGGTGCCTGGGTCTCCTCTCCATTCATTCACCTTACTCTAATCAAGTTTTTATTTCATGCCTAGAAAATATAATCCACTCAACGCTAATATTCGTATCTCTAAGTTCTTCCTCAATTGCTCCTGTTGCCTAAAAAGGGAGGGAGTATATAGAAACTAGACTCCACAATAAAAGAGGTTTGTTGAAGTTGGCAATAATTCTGTAGACACTAGGGTGAAGAAGAATGATCTAGATCAGTGTTGTCAAACTTGACTGTGAATTAGGATCACCTGGAGAGCCTGGAAAACCAGATAGCTGGGGTTCATCCTCAGTTTCTGATTCAGTAGGTCTGGGCAGGGCGGGAGAATCTGCATTTTTAATAAGTTCCAGATGATGCTGGTGCTGCTGACCTGGGGCCACACTTGAGAACCACTGATTTAGGGGAATAGCCAGGGAAAGAAAGATCAGGCTCTGAGCCATTCACTTTCTAGTAAATATTAAAAATACTTGTTAATATAAAAGGTTTCTTGACATTTTGTCATTTTTTGTAATAGTTTAATCCCTTTTCTGTTTCCCTGTAACGCTTGCTAGTCTTCAAGTCCACTGAAGGCTTAGAAGGACTCTTACTTAGTGAACAAATAAGTACTGAGAGCTAATTTATACCACCACAATTTGGGTGATATAACAGTTATGAACAAAGTGATATTTTGTGTAGTGTCTAGGGGCACCTTCGAGCTTATGACCTTGGAGCCAAATCTTGAAGGATGAGTAGGGCAAAAGCATTGAGGTATGAAAGTCCAAAGGGAGTGTTCAGGGAGTTGAGGGTAGTGCCTGTGGTAGCACAGGGTGTCTGGGGACAGGTTCTCTCAGAAGTGAAGTGAACCCTGAAACACTTCAATTTTTTGAAGCTCCTTGTTTTTTAAAAAGTGAAGAAATCTCAAACATTATTATGAAATTATGGTCACTTGAAACAGTTTACCTTAACAAATTAACACTTTCAAACATATTTAGAACTCCATGTATAACTTATCTGGAGGTAATGACAACTTTTACATGTGAGGCCCTTTATGAAAGAAACGTCTTGTGTGCCAGTGAAGAGCTGACTTCACTTCCAGGACTGGAAAATGTACAAGCTATGAAACTATATGCTTAACAGTGGGGAAGGGGAGATAAAAACTTGAAACAGTGGGGTAGGGGAGAGAAAAACAGTGGGGTAGGGGAGAGAAAAACTACATGAAATCAGTAAGTATCCCTAGAATTCCTCTGAACTTTCCTGGGAGTGTCCTGGACTTTCTTGTCTCTGCCTTTGCCCTTGTTTTCTCTTCTGCCTGAAAATTCTGCTGGCCAATCCCTGCATACTTGGTCTCCAAGAAGCAGCTCGATTGTTTCCTTTGTAAACTGGTCCTCATTACCCAAATCAGATTTTTCTCCAAGGACGGATATGAACCCTTCTTTCTCACCATACTTAAGACAGTTTGATTCTATCACTCAATAAGCAGTTATTACTTCTGCTTTGCATTGTAGTTAATTGTGTGTCTTCTTTAAGTAGGTTGGAAATCAGGGGTCTTTCTCCTTAAATGAACATTTCAATTTACTTTTTAACTTTTGCAGGGCACTTTTATGATGACATATTTCAGATTTTTTATGTCTTAAAAAAATCTCTTATATTGTAGGACCTTCAGCAATGAGTTCAGTGCTCAATAAATGTTGATGAAGTCTATGCATTCAAAGGTTGTTTAAAGAGGCCTCCTATGTGCCAGGCACTGCTTTGAGAGCTGAGTTATAGCTCCTGTCTTCATAATTTTTGTAGTGGGAAACATATATATATATATATGTATATATACATATACATATATATATATATACACACACGCACACACACACACACACATACACACATATTCATATGAAAGTCAGATAGTGCTAAGCTGAGGAAATATGGAGAGAAAAAATAAAGCAGGAAAGGGCTGGTAGGAGGGGAAGGAAGAGATGAGTTGCAATTTTAAATAGGGTGATCAGGAAAGGCTTCACTGAAAGGGACAGTTAAGAAAACATCTGAAAGAGATGAGGGGGTGAGCCAACTGACTACCTGGGGAAAGAGCTTTCTAGGAAGAGGGAAAAGCCAGTCCAAAGGCCCTCAGGCCAGAGTGGCTGAAGCAGGGTACTGAGTGAAAGAGTAGTTGGAGATGAGATGAAACAAAGGGGAGGGGTGGGAGGTATCACCTAGGGCCTTTATAGGTCCAGGTATATATTTAGCTTTTACTTCCTTAATGCACAGTGAGAGCCTGCCTTGCCTAGTCCCTTTTTTCCTTTTGGTCAACACCTACTCAAATGCCACCAAATCAAAGAGGCCTTCCCTAATTCCCCTAAAAGAGAATTAGTACAACTCTCATCAATGTTACTAGAGAAATTTTAATAGTTTTTTAGATAGGAATTAAGGTGTTAAGAGAGAGCTGTAGCTCCTTGAAAGGCCATCTCCTGGATGGATTTGGAATGGCAAAATAGAGACTAAATGCTCAACCAGTTTCATTTGTACGCATAACAAGATCCATCCAAACTGGAAGAACCAAAAATAACAGAATAATTAGTGCACAGTGCTTAGAGCTAATTAGGTGATTAGTATTAATTTTAGTTAATGGTGATTAAAAGTGAAAAATTCAGCCTTCATTCAACTTGTCAAAGCTGAAGTTCTCAACCATCAGTAAAGAATACTGATTTAAAATGTTTTTTTTCTAGTTCATAAAGGTCTGTCTACTCTGTATACTAAGGAAATGGGGGTTAGTCTGGTGTGGTGGGGCACTTTATGGACCCCCAGCAAGAGTTTTGGAGCCTTTCTGCCTTTGTTTCATGTCACAAGAACGGACGCTCCACAAAAGCTACTTTTGTGTTTCTAGAACCTAGAACCGTGCCTGGCACATAGTAGGCTTTGGGTCGTCAGACATAGCAAATTAAAACACAAGATGCCTAATTAAATATGAGTATCAACAACAAGTAGTTTTTTAGTATAAACATGTACTGTACCAGGCAATATTTGGGGCACACCTACGTAGTAATGGTTGTTTATCTAAAATTCAAATTTAACCGGGCGTCCTGTATTTTATATGGTAACCCTGAGTTCAATAAATATCTGCTGACTTGATTGAACACCTCCTCTCACTTGTAAAATGGGGCTAAGACAGGCCCGCCCTCGGGGTTGATGGGAGGAGTATATGAAGCGCCTGGAACTCAGCGAGCCCTCAATTTATTTGATTGCTCGGAGACCATCTAGCGAGTGGAAAACCCTCTCACTTTTAAACCTACAGAGGATAAGAAGGCCTTCTGGCGAGAGGTTCTCAGGCCTGGCCTAGGTTGCACACACCTGCGGTCCGGCCAGCCTTTTCCGGGTCAGGTGACCGCGCGTGGTCACGTGACCTGGCCCGAGTGCGGGCGGTGGAAGGCGGAAGTGGGAGAGGAGTTGGGCGCCGCTTCTGTGGCCGCAGCAGGTAGCGAGCACCGGCTCTGGGGGCGCGGCGGGCGGGCGGGGTCGCGGGGAAGTCCGGGAGTGGCGGGCGGCGCGGGGTGGGCCGGGGGAGGCGCGGCCAGGGCGCTGGGGGGCGGCGGCTTCCTGTGGGAGGGGCCTGGCGCGGCGGTTCCGGCCTCCGAGGAGGGGTGTCCCGGTTCCCGCCCGAGAGGGTGGGCTTGCCGCGGGTCGTGCGCGGGGGCTGCTCACAGGTGGGCGCGAAGGCAGTCATGGGTGCGGCGGCCAGCAAGTCCTCCCGGAAGGGGAAAGCATCTTAGGTGCCAGGGATGAAGAGGAGTGACCTTTGTGCAGGGATCGGAACAAGGGGAAGGGGCGACTTGGGACTGAGTTGGAATGGGCCGCCTTAAATTGGGCGAGTGACATGGGGGGAAAGAAGGAGAAATCAGTATGAAGATGCAGCCTGAACTGCTCCTGAGAGTCTTTTCTTTCCTTCCTCTTTGTAAATGATTGGTACCCGAGACTTTGATTTTGGTCCCATTCAGTTTTTAAACTTCAGGGAGGATCACAGAATCTTGATCATCTTGCTTTCGTCACACCCACTTACTCCTGCTTGGGTAGGGTTTCCACTTCTTGGGAACCTAGCCCTTGGGATCATCTTTCTTTGAGATTTTCTCAGATCAGATCAACTTCTAGGCTTAAGAAAAAGAGTGTGGGCACTTTGCTCTGGCCATAAAATGGCTTTTAGCCTACCACGTTGAGCACGACCTAATCCCAGCATTACCTCACCAATGCAGAGACTGCTGTAACCTTGGACACTGTCTACCTTCCCTGCTTCATGAGTTTTCCTTTTTCTTCAGTTTAAATTATTCAGTTTCCTTTACCATGTGACTGCTTATCTTGACAAACTGTAACTAGGTAGCTGACTGAGAGGTCTGTGTTTTGTTCCTTAGAACTGTGACCTGGATCATAATTTTGAGGTTAAATATCTGTGCTAAAGCTGTTTATCTTCTTTTTCCTTATGTTTACTAACATTTGCAAAAGTGGAATGAATTTCACAGATGTGGTACAATTGGAGTGAATGTTCAAACTGGACGTTTGCAGGAGCCGGAGTTGTTTTGGGTTACAAGTAGGAAAAAGAAAAGTACTTTGCTAATGTATAATGGTTTTTGGAGTACTTGACAAACATTTAAAAATTGATTTTTGTGGCAGCTCTGTGAGTTAGATTGGGAAAGTGTTATTCCCATTTCACAGTGAACAAACAGACCTAAGAGAGATGACTTGATTTTTTGACAGTTGTTTGCTTTTTCTTGTCTGCTGGTCTCTTTCTCCCTGCTAGACTGCAAATTCCTCAAGGGCAGGGTTCATATCTTATTTGACTTATTTGGCTCCTAGCCTAGTGCCTGTCATGTTGTGGGCACTTGGTGTTTCGTGAATAAATGAATTTCTAAAGGTCACAGACCTGTAAGTGGAGGACAAGAGATTTGAACCTGAGTCCTAGCTCTTCTCTTGTCAGACAAGCTTGCCATTTTCTGTTATTGGTCCATGTGAAAATGACAGGCATGAGGAAAAGGCTTGGGTTGGCTTCTCAGTCTCCTTTATTTAATGACTACTTTCCCAATTGTAAAGAGCTTATGACAGCATCTCATTTAATCTTCACCATGATCCTGTGAAGGTTGGAATTGTCCCTATTCTGCAGATGAAGAAACTGAGGCTTAGTGAAGTCCTTGCTTTAGAGTCTGGAAGTAGTGAGTGACTGAGTAGGGACTCACGCCCCGGCATTTTATCCTTAGACCCATTCTTTTCCATTTATAGAGGCAACATAAAGTTTTATTTTAAAATATTTTTTCAAGTGGACAAAGTATGACATTTTAAGGGAAAAATAGTACAGGTTACAGCAAAAATTGTGAATATGGAGTGTAACTGAAGTTTAGAAAATCCTGTGCTATATCATAGCTGCCTCTTCCTGGGAAAACATTTTTTTCATTCAATGAATATTTATAAGTACCTACTCTGTACCAGGCATTGTTCTAGAGTTGCATTGTCCAGTATGGTGGTCACTTTCCAGTGTTGAACACTGGGGGTAGGCTATGAGTATAAAATACACACCAGATTTTTGAAGACTTAATATGAAAAAAAAAAAGAGGTAAACTATCTCATTGATTTTTTAAAATATCATAATAAATGATAAATATAAATATATGCTATAAATCATAACATTTAAAGTTTATTGGGTTAAATACAATAGAATTGAAATTTCCTCTGTAGTTTTTATTTATTTTTTTAATAAAAAAATTTTTTTAAAGCTGTACCTATTTTTTTTTTTTTTTTAGCTGTACCTATTTTAAATTTATTTATGTATTTATTTTAGGCCACGTTGGGTCTTTGTTGCTGCGTGTGGACTTTCTCTAGTTGCAACGAGTGCGGGCCACTTTTCATTGCGGTGCGCGGGCTTCTCATTGCGGTGGCTTCTCTTGTTGCGGAGCACGAGCTCTAGGCGCGCGGGCTTCAGTAGCTGGGGCACGTGGGCTCAGTAGTTGTGGCTCACAGGCTGTAGAGCGCAGGTTCAGTAGTTGTGGCGCATGGGCTTAGTTGCTCCGCGGCATGTGGGATCTTCCCGGACCACGGCTTGAAGCAGTGTCCCCTGCATCGGCAGGCGGATTCTTAACCACTGCACCACCAGGGAAGTTCCCTATTTAGTTTTTAAAATGTTTCCTAGAAAATTAAAAATTATATTGGACAGTGCTATTATGAGCACCAGGACTATAGTATACAAGGAAGGCAAAAACCCCTGCCCTTGTGGATCTTAAATTTTAGTGGGGAAAGGCACAATAAACAAAATAACCAAGAAAAATGCACATTACATTGTAATAAAGTAGGGAGGCAGGATGTGGGTTATTGGCTGGCATTGCGGTTTTGAAGGGGGTCCTTAGAAAGTCTTCCTGAGAAGGTGACGGTTGAGCAAAGATCTGAAGGAGGTGAGAAAATGAGCCATGTGGCTAAATGGGGACACAGTGGTCCAGGCAGAGGAAAGAGCAAGCTCAAAAGCCCGAAGGAAGGGCCACCCCTGGCAGGCTAGTGGACCTGCCTGGAGGCCGGTGTGGCTGGAGGGGGTGGTGAAGGGGGATGGAGAGGATGAGGTCAGAGAGGCGTTGGGGGTAAGGGAGAGATGGGCAGGTTGTGGGGGCCTTGCAGGCTCTCATGGGGATGTTGATTTTCCCTCAGAGTGAGTTGGGCCATTGGAGGGTTTTGAGCAGTGGAGTGGACATGTTTCATCCTGCCTTCTAACAGGCTTACTCTGGTTGCCTTGTGGAGAAAGCAAAGAGGAGTGAGGAGTAGAAGCAGGGAGACAAGTTTAGAGGCTTCTGCCGTGATCCAGGTGAAGGATGGCCTGGGTGGTAGTGATGGAGGTGGCCAGCAGCGGTCGGGCCCTGGGTATATTTTGAAGTACAGCCAACAGGGTGTATGGAGGTGGGATGTGAGAGAAAGAAAGGAGTCACGGCAACGCTGCAATCTTTGGCGTGAACACCTGGAAGAATGGAATTGCCATTAACTGAAATGGGAAGACTGAATTGGGGGCTGAATTTCTTTCACACTGATTGTGAAGTGCCCAGTAGAAAAACAAGTGAAGGTGTCATGGGCAGTTAGATAGGGAAGTCTGGAGCCGGGCTGGGCTGGGGATGTACATGTGGAAGCAGTTAGCACGAAGATGATATTTAGAGCTAAGAGACTGAGGGAGGTCACTTAGGGCGTAGTGTGGATACATAGCCAAGAGGAGTGCTAGAAGTTCAATTTTGAGACAAAAATCTCAGTTTATACTATTATACTAGTAGGTATTTTAAGTATAGCAAAGCATTGCATTATATCTTGGGGAACTTTGTTTTCTCTCCTTTTCACTTTTCATTTAAAGACCGTTTTGAAAACCATAAGCTAATGGGTCTCTTTTCTTCCTAAGGAGGCTACTCTTCCAAGCGTGCATCTTTGTAGTGCCGCTGAAATCAATATAAGTCCCAGTTTCTGGAATTCGTCAGGCTTTCTGGGTTGGCAACCAATTTAGAGACCTCCAAGAAGGATGGGAAAGAGACAGCTTGGAAGGATGGGTAATGGCTTTTTAATGTTTAAAATATTGGTTCTACCTAACATTATTGAATGTATGTTGTTGCCAGGCATCCTGCTGTTTTATAGATTTAAAACAAACAACCTCACTGTGGTGAAGTGACCTGCGCATGAGGTCACATAGCTAACAGATGGAGGAGCTGGCATTTGAACCTTAGTCTTCTGAGCCCAGATCTGATGCTTCTGTCAGTAAGATATGCAGTAGTGGATGCATGAACATCACCTTCCACTGGAATCAAGTCAGTGAGTGACTTTGGGTTGCTTCAGACTATTATAGACTCTGGAATTTCTGAGAGGTAGGGACAAAAGGGAAGCTCTTGTTTCTCTTAAAAAGAGCCAACTGAATCTTTTTTTTTTTTTTTGTGGTACACGGGCCTCTCACCGTTGTGGCCTCTCCCGCTGCGGAGCACAGGCTCCGGACGCGCAGGCTCAGCGGCCATGGCTCACAGGCCCAGCCGCTTCGCGGCATGTGGGATCTTCCCGGACCGGGGCACGAACCCGTGTCCCCTGCATCGGCAGGTGGACTCTCAACCACTGCGCCACCAGGGAAGCCCCCAACTGAATCTTTTTGAGAAGGTTGTAGTCCCCTGTTCCTGCCTCACCACCAGCAGCTTGAAAACAAACATTCAGTGCTTTCAGTCAAGTGTTAATCACCATTTCTAGGAATATACTGAATATCAAGACTTGGCAGCCCTGACCTTGGGCAGGTCCTCTTTCTCTCTGTGTCACCCATGCCTTTTGCTTCCTGTTTTGTCCTTAGAACTGCTTTCCAGTCTCTCTCTCCCTTTTCTTTTTTTTCTGGCTGTGCCGTGCGGTTTGCGGGACCTCACTTCCCCAGCCAGGGATTGAACCTGGGCCATGCCAGTGAAAGCCTAGAATCCTAACCTCTAGGCCACCAGAGAACTCCCCAGTCTCTTTTATTACTAGCTTATAATTCCACTGCGCTTCCAATGCTGTGACTTCCCATGTCCCTCCCTCCCTCTCTTCTCATGTGCTTGGTCTTTGTACAGATGGCATTTGGCCAAGTTCAGTTCTGTTTGATTGTTTTTCAATATGGGCCTTCGGGGAATGGAAGGTAACTCAATGCTGAACAGAGGAAAGAGGCGGAGAAAGAAGCATTAGCCTTGGAAAAGCATGAGAGGATGGAGGGAAGGAAGAATCTTTTGAACAGACCCTTCTCATCCACATCTTTCAAGAAGTGGATACAGGGCGGATCTGTACTTATAAGTAAGAAGCACTGCCTGTTTCCACAGTGGCCTAATTAAAAATAAACTCTTAGTGCTGTTGAGTCATTTTTGCTCTTCCCTGCCTCATCTGCTACACAGGTTCTTTCGTCTCAAGATCAGTGTTCAGTGATTTCTTGACTCAAAGCTGGGTCAAGAATTTCAGGAATCTCAGAGCCTAGAATTTCAACATCAAGAAGAACAAGTTTAGCTTGTAGTACTACTTGAAGAGCACTTAGTATTTGCTGGCTGCTTTACCTGAACTCATTTATTCCCTACGATAATCTTATAAGGTAGTGCTATCATTAGGTTCATGTCACAGATGAGGAAACTGAAATTTAGAGAGGATGAGAAGTAACTTGTCCAGTGCCACTCAACGGCTAGTGACTGGTGAAGCCTATTTGTTTCCAAAAGATTTACTGGTCTGAAAGGTTCTTGCCGAAGTTGGGTGATAAGAATAATCAGGTCCTTCAGATATTGCAAGAACTGTCACTTGCTAAATCTGACATGTGTTTGCTTTCTCCTGCCAGAAGCTCTTCGAGGATTTATTTAATGGGGGACTCTTAGAGTAAGATATCTGAACTCCCAGAGGGCAGGGGCCCCGTGGCATTCTGCTTTGTATTTCCAGGGCCTGGCACAGAGTGGGATCTATGAGCATCTGTTGAAAGACTGACCGTGGCTCAGGACTGGATGGGGTGAATCAAAGGGGTCTGGAAGAGGTACAGTCAGAAGGCTGGCTGCCCTCTTGCCGAAGGTGCCCTTGACTGTTATAGTCCCCTGGCTTCAAGAATCAACCCATCCTGGAAACTCCCTAGAGGTCCAGTGGTTAGGACTCGGCACTTTCACCGTGGTGGCCTGGGTTCAGTCCCTGGTCAGGGAACTAAGATCCTGCGAGCCGCGTGGCTCAGCCAACGACAACAAAAAAGAATCAACCCCCCACCCCCAAAAAAGGGGGGGGCTTCCCTGGTGGCACAGTGGTTGAGAGTCCACCTGCCAATGCAGAGGACATGGGTTCGTGCCCCGGTCCGGGAAGATCCCACATGCCGCGGAGCGGCTGGGCCCGTGAGCCATGGCCGCTGAGCCTGTGCGTCCGGAGCCTGTGCTCCGCAATGGGAGAGGCCACAACAGTGAGAGGCCCGTGTACCGCAAAAAAAAAAAAAAGGAAAACCCTTTCTAATAAGACAAATGTTGAGTTGTCCATTGACTGATGAATCGATGAACAAAATGTGGTCTGTCCTTACAAATGGAATATTATTGTTTTTTTAAAAAAATATTTGTTTGTTTATTTCGACTGCACTGGGTCTATAGTTGCGGCACACAGGATCTTTTAGTTGTAGCATGCATGTGGGATCTAGTTCGCTGACCAAGGATCGAACCCAGGCCACCTGCATTGGGAGCGTGGAGTCTTACCCCCCAGACCACCAGGGAAATCCCTGCACAGGTTATTTTTTAAGGGAGGTTACAGCCGGGCCTGGGTCCAGGTGGATATGGAAATCTAGTGCCCCAAAGATGTGTTGTTGGAAGAGGCTTTTCAGTTTCAGCTTGCTGTCATGAAATCCACATCTTCTAAAAGCCTTTGTCCTTAATCGTGTTAATTTCCAATTCCTCCTGTGTGTAACAAATTATCACAAACTTGGTGGTTTAAAACAACCGAAATTTGTTCCTGTATAGTTCTGGAGGCCAGAGGTCCGAAATCAAAGTGTCAACTGTGTCAGCAGAACTGAGATCCTTCTGCGCACTGGGGGAGAAATCCTGGTTTGCCTCTCGTAGTGGCTCTAGGCATTTGTGGGTTTGAGGTTGTGAGACTCAAATCTCAGACTCAGTCTTTTTTTTTTTTTGGCCGCACAGCTTGCGGGATCTTAGTTCCCTGACCAGTGATTGAACCCGGGCCATGGCAGTGAAAGTGCCGAGTCCTAACCTCTGGACACCCAGGGAATTTCTTCAGTCCATGTCTTCATGGCCTTCTTCCCTGTGTCTGTGTCTTCTCTCTTCTGTCTCCTATAAGGACACTGGGCCCACCCTAAAGGATGGTCTCATCTTGAGAGCTTTAACGTAATTACATCTATTTCCAAATAAGGTCACATTTACAGGTTCCAAGAGGGTAAGCACCTAGGCATATCTTTTGGGGACCGCAGTTCAACCCACTACACTAATTAAATGTAGACTGGGCGCTCTTTTAAAAATTAAATAAGGACATCATCCTATGACCTGATTTGAAGAGACCCTTTTTCCTTTCTTGAATTTAAATTTTATATATGCCCCAAATAACACATGCACTTAGTTTAGAAAGTCCAATAGCATTACACGGCTCATAACGCAACAGCACTTCCTTGTTTCACTCCCTTTTGTTCTTGGTTCTTGTTCTGCAGAGTCAATCAGTTTTAACTTATTGAGCTCTTCTCTGGTATAGACTTCTGCATCTCTAAATGGCATCCTTATACCATCATTTCTTAGCTTGTCAGTTTTTTTTTAATTGAAGTATAGTTGATTTACAATGTTCTATTAGTTTCTGGTGTACAGCAAAGTGATTCAGTGATATATATATACACACATATATATATTCCATTATAGTTTATTACAAGATACTGAATATAGTTCTCTGTGCTATACAGTAGGACTTTGTTGTTTATCAATTTTGTATATAGTAGTTTATATCTGCTAATCCCAAACTCCTAATTTAATCCCTTCCCGCCGTCGCCCTTTCCCCTTTGGTAACCATGTTTGTTTTCCATCTCTGTGAGTCTGTTTCTGTTTTGTAAATAAGTTCATTTATATCATTTTAAAAGATTCCGTATGTAAGTGACATCATGTGATATTCGTCTTTCTCTTTCACTTACTTCATTTAGTATGATAATCTCTAGGTCCATCCATGTTGCTGCAAATGGCATTATTTCGTTGTTTTTTTTATGGCTGAGTAACATTCCATTGTGTATATGTACCACATCTTCTTTATCCATTCATCTGTCGATGGACATTTAGGCTGCTTCCATGTCTTGGCTATTGTAAATAGTGTAGCTTGTCAGTTTTATCTATTGCTTTTTTTTTTTTTTTTTGTGGTACGCGGGTCTCTCACTGTTGTGGCCTCTCCCATTGTGGAGCACAGGCTCCTGGTGCGCAGGCTCAGCAGCCATGGCTCACGGGCCCAGCCGCTCTGCGGTATGTGGGATCTTCCCGGTCCGGGGCACGAACCCGTGTCCCCTGCATCGGCAGGCGGACTCTCAACCACTGCGCCACCAGGGAAGCCCTTATCTATTGCTTTTTAACTCTTTGAGCTCTTTTCTGGTATAGACTTCTGCTTCTCTAAATGGCATCCGTACACCATCATTTCTTAGCTTGTCAGTTTTATCTGTTGCCTTTTAACCACTGAGGATGGATGCTGAGCTCTCTTTCTGGCCAGTCTCCACAAATGTACTCTTCTACCCCCACCTTCTGATTACAGCCATATCACAAGTTTTGATTAAATTGTTCATGCTATTTTGATTATAAATATTATTCACAGCTGAGCCACACTGTGTATTAGGATTACATTTCCTTTCTCATAATAGCTTTTGTTTTTACTAGAGTTGTTTATTTCCTGATTTTTTCATTTGCATAATTTTCTGTGTACCTATCACTACCTCAGCCCCAAACATTCTGACAGAGCTAAAATAATACTTCTTTCAGTGCAATCAGATGCCTCATCTAATCTATTTTGTCAGTTTTTTTCTTTCATCTAAAGATGACACATCTTATGAACTCTCTCATCTGGACTGGTTGCTCTC